TTTTAACACATTTTCCCAACAAGGGGTAGCCGGGCTGCATCTCGGGGGAGAAGAGGAGGCCGAGTACGCTGTGGGGGCCACCGGGCCCAAACAGTGAGCGACGACCACATAAGCTCGGTGTTTGAAACTAACACTGAGGACTATGACTCGACTTTTGTTCCCGGCACGGAGCATGAGGAGACCCCGTATGACGGGGCTGACTTCCACACTGACGAGGAAGACAACGATGAGAGTGATGCCCGATTCGCTCAAATGGGCGAATTGCTTGAGTGGTATCAAAAAGAGAAACTAAGGAGAGACCTTAGGCGCCAAGCAAGGCACGGCTCTCGTGGTGGTTTGCTTCAAGGAAGCCGGGGAGCTTCAAGGGCCACTCCAGCGGCGTCACAAGGTGGGCGTGAAGGAGGGTTTTGTGTGAGAATCTCCAAGTACCTCAAGGAGGCTAGGGCCTTGGGGTGTAAATCCTTCGACGGCACTGGTGACATTACCGTTGCCGCCAATTGGATCAAGAAAGTGAAGGATGCATCAAGGGATATGCAGGTCACACCCGACGTGAAGTTGACTGTTGCTTCACGTTTGCTTGAAGGAATCGCTTCTACATGGTGGGAGAGTGTAGAAGGAAAGTACCGGGGGGCCATCACATGGGCGAACTTCGAGCAGGAGTTCTACGCCCAATACTACTCCGATTACGAGGTTAATGTCAAGCATAGGGAGTACACCAACCTTAAACAGAAGGAGGGTGGTTCTGTCAAGCAATTGGAGCAAGATTTTAGAACCTTGGCTAGGTTCTTACCGGAATACGCAGTCGATGAGGACCGCATGTCGGAACACTTTTGGGACGCCTTACTCCTGGACATCCGTGACCGAGCTACGTACTCTCGTCATATGACATTTAGCGAGGTGGTGGAACAGGGCTTACTTGGGGAGGCTCAGTGGAATGAGAGGAAAGAAAGAGACGCCAAATAGGCAAAAAAGAGAAAGTGGCATAGTTCGGGGCTGCCCGAGAAATCACGAAAGAATAACCACGGTGTAGGTAGTGGTTCGTTCAAGATGCCGGCACCACCGGCAAAGAAGAACAGAGATGCACGGTGACACTCATCCTCCTCTCGAAATACGAGACCTCCTAGGTGTGCCAACTGTTCGAAGAATCACTTCGGGAAGTTCCACGCACCCCCGAGGTGTTATCAGTGTGGGAACACAGGCCACATGAAGGCTAATTGCCCACAATTGGGGGGAGGAGGAGCTCTCGGGTCCAGAGGAGGAGCTTTGACGAGTAGTAACCGTGCAGGGCCGTCAAACGGCGGAACGGGAAGATGCGGTGCATCAACGAGCCATGCCGCGTCCGTTAACCAAGGCGGGGCCCAAACAAGGGTCTACGCGATGACCGAGGCCGATGCTCGGGCCAACCCCGACTCCGTTGCAGGTAATCCCTTGCTAATGCTTGATAAAATACATGTATTAATGTGTTAGAAGTGATAACGGGGTTGTACGGGCCGACCGGTGACTTTGCCGGTCGGTTTCTAAGTAAAAGGAGCAAGAAAAAGGGGAAGGGGCTGCCCAGGGCCCAACCGGCGCCGGTCATAGCGTCCAAAACGCTACTGGCACCCACGCATGCGTGCGTGCGAAGGGACGCACGCATGCGTCCCCCGTTTTTGGGCCAACCGGCGCCGTTCGTTGCGTTAAAACATTCCGTTACCCTACTGCCACCCACGCACGCGTGCGTGGGAAGGGACGCACGCGTGCGTACCCCATTTTCGACAAAAAAAAATCGGCCCAATTGGCGCCGGTTAGGCCCAGAACTGGCGCCGGTCCAGTACAACTTTAAAAAAATTATTAGCTCGTTTTTGATTCGGTACTTCGGGTAGGGTGTCTTACATCATTTGTAAATGTAGGAACACTCTTGATCAATGGAAGAAACGCAAGAATTCTCATTGATACCGAGGCGCAACGTTCTTTTGTGAGCGAAGCGTTTGCCGAAGGTCTTGACGTGCCATTGACGCCGATGACTCAGACCTTGTTAGTCTCCACACCGTTAGGAGATGATGTGGAGAGGGACCACTATTATGAATCATGTGAGGTAGAAGTGACGGGTCAACCTTTGACTTGTGATTTCGTACCTCTAAGTATGTTGGAGTTTGATGCGATCCTAGGGATAGATTGGCTCGGAAAGCATCATGCTAGAGTTGATTGCTACACCAAGGTCTTAGAGCTTGAGGATGATGAGGGAAACACCATACTTTTCAAGGGAGATCGAGGGAGATCTCAAAGTTGTATCATATCCGTGATGAGAGCACGGAAGATGATGAATAAAGGTTGCCACGCGTACCTTGCTTACGTGGTAGATGGGACCAAGAAGGAGGTAGACATCAACGATGTACGTGTTGTGTGTAAGTACCCAGACGTCTTTCCCAAAGACTTACCGGGGCTTCCACCCGATAGAGAGATCGAGTTCGTGATTGAAGTTGAGCTGGGAACTAAACCCATTTCGATTCCTTCTTATCGAATGGCACTGGCAGAACTTCAAGAGTTGAAAGTCCAATTACAGGAGTTATTGGATAACGGGTTCATTAGACATAATCATTCACCATGGGGAGCACTGGTACTCTTCGTGAAGAAGAAAGATGGTTCACTAAGAATGTGTATTGACTACTGACAATTGAACAAGGTCACAATCAAGAATAGGTATCCCTTACCGAGGATTGATGACTTGTTTGATCAACTTCGGGGGGCGATAGTGTTCTCAAAGATTGATTTGAGGTCGGGCTACCATCAATTGAAGATAAAGGAGCGTGACATACTGAAGAGTGCATTTCGCACTAGATATGGTCACTACGAATTCCTTGTGATGTCGTTTGGTTTAACCAATGCACCAGTGGCATTCATGGATTTGATGAACCATGTGTTTAGTGAGTACTTAGATCAGTTTGTGATTGTATTCATTGATGACATCTTGATATATTCGAAGAACGAAGAAGAGCATGAGCATCACCTGAGACTGGTGCTTGAAAGGCTAAGAGAAAAACATCTCTTTGTCAAGTTCTCTAAATGTGAATTTTGGCTTAAAGAGATTGGCTTTCTCAGTCATGTCATATCTGGATCAGGAGTTGCGGTGGACAATGCAAAGATAGAAGCCAATATGAATTGGGAACAACCTAAGAATGTGAAGGAGATACGTAGTTTCCTTGGCTTATCGGGTTACTATCGTAAATTTGTTGAGAAATTCTCCGTGTTGGCGTCACCACTAACGAAGCTCACGAAGAAGGGGGCTAAGTTCGTATGGGACGAAAAATGTGAGAAAAGGTTTCTTGAGCTAAAGAAACGACTTACCGAGGCACCAGTTCTTGCCCTACCAATACAAGGTATTGGGTATGATATTTATAGTGATGCTAGCATCCAAGGGCTTGGATGTGTACTAATGCAGAATGGTAAGGTGATTGCCTATGCTTCTAGGCAATTGAGAAAACATGAGGTGAACTACCCTACCCACGTCCTAGAGTTGGGAGCGGTAGTGTTTGCACTAAAGATTTGGAGGCATTATCTCTACGGGGAGACATGTCACATCTACGCCGATCATAAGAGCTTGAAGTATGTATTCACTCAGAAAGAGTTGAATATGAGGCAAAGGAGATGGATGGAGTTGATCAAGGACTATGACTTGATCATCGACTATCATCCCGGTAAGGCCAACGTTGTGGCCGATGCACTGAGCATGAAGAGTACGTCGGGGATGTTACTCACATGCCTACAAGCGTTACGGGCACACGTGGAGGTGTCCTCGAGCGGGGCACTCATAGCGAGATTTGAGGTTAGACCTACGTTGCTGAGTGAGATCAGTAGAGGTCAAGGCATTGATGAGGAATGTCAGAAGGTCCGCGAACGGATCCTTGCGGGACCCATTGAGGATTTTCGGGTACGTGATGATGGCCTTTTATTGTTCAAGGATCGCGTATGCGTACCACATAATGAGGAACTCCGGAAAACCATACTCGAGGAAGCCCATTCTTCAGCCTATGCTATGCATCCAGGAGGTACAAAGATGTACCGAGACCTGAAGGAAAGTTATTGGTGGTCTGGTATGAAGAGAGACATCGCGGAGTATGTGAGCCGATGCCTTACTTGTCAACAAGTTAAGGCAAAGCATCAGCACCCGGCGGGACTTTTGCAGCCACTTACCATTCCAGAATGGAAGTGGGAACATGTCACCATGGACTTTGTGGTAGGGTTACCACGGACGGTGAACAATTACGATGCAGTGTGGGTGGTGGTTGATAGGCTTACCAAAAGTGCACACTTCTTACCTATCAACATCACTTATCTTCTTGAACGTTTGGCCAAGTTATACACGGAGGAGATTGTGAGGTTACACGGAGTTCCAATATCCATCGTCTCGGATAGGGACCCAAGATTCACATCTAGGTTTTGGCCAATGTTCTAAGCATCATTGGAGACTAAACTGAAGTTTAGCACGGCGTTTCACCCTCATACTGTGATACTCCGAAAATTTAAACAAAAATAAAATAAAAATAAACCAGATAAAATATATCTGACAAAGTAAACAAAAGTAAATATTAAAATGTTGTAATACAAAAGTAACAATGTCCAAATTAAAGAATTTTTTCTCAACGAAATATATACACATAATAAGAATATGTAATAAAATATAAAAAGTATACATATATAATACTAATATGAATAATAAAAATGTATGGGAGCATGATGCAATTTAAATTGTGGGTAAGAATCATACACATATGTAGGTGTTACAATAATACAAGTAGCAATGATAATGTATGCAATGAACCTGCGGACTAGAGACTTGAGATACATTAGAACAACCAACATTTTTCACATGCATGTTCATACAATAATAATATTTAACAATAATTCAAAAATCAAGGAATAATGCAAACCAATCACTCCAGATATGGTTGAGCCCAAGTTAGTCCATTCTCAGCTATAAATAGAGACATTTACATCCCCTAAAGTTCAGTGAAAACGAGTAGAGCATATATATATACTTACTCGCCGGAAATATACACTTATATATATATTTACGTAAGGAATTGCTTATAAACGATAGAGGAGGGTCGTGAAAGGTCTAGGAATACTTCCCAATAAATTCCAGACCGATTCGTAATCACCGGAGCATCCTAGAGCTCGCCGGAGTTGCAAGTCATGGAAGCAGGTCTTCAGCAAAAGAGGATATTTTGCTATAGATAGGGGTGGCGGAGCTTCGTCTCGCCGTCAGGATCATTTTGCAATTTGAATCGTCGAAATCCATTACCTGTAAGTCAAGTTATAGCTCGCCGAAGTTTCCTTAATTTTTCGGTCGCCGGAATAACGACCTGGAGAAGAATGGGGAGGAAGACAACCCAGTCTTCTTGGGCCGGGTCAGTTTAATGGGCCTGTTCGGCCCATTTTCAATAAAAATTAAAAATAAAATAGTAAATGAAATAAATAAAATCTGGAACAATATAAATTAAATACCTAGTATAAATATACATATTCGGACCAACCAGAATTGAAAAATAATATTTCTAACTATTTTTAATTGATTTAATTGTAATTGGGCCAATTTGTACATATTTAGTAAATAATTAACTAAACGACGAAATAAATTATGAAATAATTATTGGAGTAAACTAGATTAAATATACGACTAACTAGGACATGTGGGACCATTTACATTTAATAAAAATTATGATTAGTATATTTAATTGTGATTAAACCGGTTAATAGATATATGAAATTAAATGAATAAATAAGGGAAATAATTCTAAAATAAATATCTGGACAACCTAGGTCAAATATAGACCCAAAATATAGTTATGGACGGTTATAAATTTATAAAGTCATTTCTTAAGCTACTTAATTTAATTAGGCCATATAAAACTAGTTAAGTAATTAAATAAGAAAATTTGAATAATAATGGTGAAATAAATAAAATCACTAAGATTGAAAATAATATTCTGGACTAAAATGATGTTTGGAATAAAATAAGGAAAAAAAAAATAAAGTTGGGATAGCTAGCGTAAATGAATGACTATATTTGGACTTAATAAATAAATTAATGAAGTAGTGGACTAATTAAATTAGTGTGATTAAATTAATAATTATTATCCTTGATTATTATTGATTTGGACTCCATATAAATTATTAAACTATTTGAACTCATAAAACTTAGTTGATTAATATAAACAAATTAATTAAGTAATGTGTACTTAATAATTAAGTTAATTGACTCCATTGGACTAGTTTAACTAAATCAATTAGTTTAATGGATAAATTAGTTAAATTATGGACGTAGTAATATTTTTGGACTTTATATTAAAAATAGAACATTAAAACAGAATTAGAATTTGATTATTGGCCTTAATTGAATTAGATTAATGTATTTAGCTATATTGATATAATTAAACTTATTTATTTGATTTAGTTAGTTCAATTAAATTAGTGAATCAAATAAATAAAACTGGAGGATTGAATTAATTAATTTAATTGGGTTAGTGAGTATAAATAAACTATTGAACTAATTAAAGTTGTTATTGAGATTAGATTATAATTAATGATTATTATTTCGAATTATTGCTTACGTCAAATTATTATTAAAAGGTTTATTAAATAAATTATATAAATTATGTAAACTGAATTTTGAACTGAATTGATTATTTAAATTTGAAATAACTAAATTATTATGTAGTTAATATAATTAGACTAGTTAACTAATTAATCAAATAAATTAAAGTAAATTATGAAGGGATTAGTATGATTAAAGAAAATAATAAGGTTGGACTGAAAATTAACATTTAAATAAGATTTATAGATCTAACTTAAAAGTTGTATTTAAAGAAGGAATAATGAAGTTAAAATAACTAAAGGTTGAATAGATAGGAAATAACAAAAATAATAGAATAGTTATTGATTTAGAATTTTGATATATATTAGAAGGAGAATTCAAGTGAAGACCAAGCTAGAGATTTTATTAAGAGGATTATCGCAATTTAAGGTAAGTTCTATGTCAGCCAAAAATGTTTTATCTCGTATTTATATGTATGCAATATTTGAACTATGTGAACTATTTATGAATTGGAAACTATTTGTTTGACATGGAATGAATATTTTGAATGTATGGATATTGGTGGATTATTACCTATTATGGATTATTGAATGTATATGCTTTTTATTAAAGAATATTGGTGGATTGATATTTATTACAAAGTATATTTTTGGAAAGTGCGACAAGAATGACTTTGGGAAAAACTTAAAGTTTTTCATAATATATTTTTACGTCTCTAGAGAAACACGAGGCGTGGGTGATTAGGACTACTACTACTTTTGGTGAAATTTATTTGGGTCGGTAACCAGTCCGGCAATGACATGCTCCGGTAGACATCCCGGGCTTTTATTTGAGGACCAAAGGTCCTTTGGTGGTTGTAGTAGTAGTTATCTAATTTACCCTTGGACAATGTCCCTTGTGAGTAGGTGGTAGAAAACATCCTGCCTACTTGAGTTTCTTACTACTCGGAGGGCTTGGAATCCCTTTTAGAGGGTGTGCACACTTAAGGTAGAAATTCAGCTTCCAAATTGGTGGTCGGTGGGAGCCGGAATTCCGGGATGAGTCGTAAATAACAACGACTCGTTGGGCTCGAGGAATCTTGAGTTTCGCCCACTCTTAAAAGAAATCTAAAGTATTACTTTTGGAGGAATTGAGGAATGACATTATCTATTGAAGAAATTATTTTGAGACATGAAGTTATTTTGGAGATATGAGAGGGTATTTTCTATATATATACCTATACCAAACCTATTTTTCAAATTATATTATTTTACGGGTTCGGGTGGAATCTTACTTAGCTCTAAAGCTAATTTTTGTCTCTTTTGTCTTCTTCTCTTTGCTCTATTGTACAGATGATTATGATTATGAAGATTGATGTACTTGCTGCCCGAGTGTTCCGCTAGTTGCACACGTTTGATTAATTATCGTTGTTTAAATTTGTAATTCATAAACATTGTCCTAAGACCCATTTCATTGTTATTTGAACTTATGGTGGATAGCCTGTGCACTCAATCATGTATAGGTTGAGTGTGGCGGTGACGCACCTGTTTTTCCCTTAAAGACTTCCGCTGTATTCTAAATATGTTTAATAATAAAGATGGTTTCATTTAAAAATGTGATTTTATTTGGGTGGGAAAAATGGGGGTGTTACACATACGGATGGACAATCCGAGCGGGCGATACAGATTTTGGAAGACATGCTTAGGGCGTGTGCCTTGGAGTTCCAGGGGAGTTGGGACAAACATTTGACACTAGTGGAGTTTGCCTATAACAACAGTTATCAGGCGAGTATTGGCATGCCTCCATACGAGGCATTGTATGGGAGGAAATGCAGGACGCCGTTGTGTTGGGACGAGGTTGGCGAGGCCAAGCTCGAAGGTATAGAACTTGTCGAGATCACCAAGGCTAAGGTGAAGGTTATTCGAGATAGATTTAACGATGCCCAAGATCGGCAGAAGAGCTATGCCGATAAACGACGTAGACCGTTAGAATTTGCAGTTGGTGATGAGGTGTTTCTAAGGATTTCTCCTTGGAAAGGTATCATCCGATTCATATCGAGGGGTAAGTTTAACCCCCGATACATTGGTCCGTTTGAAATCCTTGAAAGGATTGGGGCCGTGGCTTACCGTCTCAAGTTATCACCTGAACTTGAGAAGATTCATGATGTTTTCCATGTATCGATGCTCAAGAAGTATGTACGAGATCCGTCACATATTCTTGAGAGACCACCGGTAGAGATTCGAGAGGACCTACAATATGCAGTGGAACTGGTGAAGATAGTGGGCCAGAAGGTAACGAGGCTTAGGAACAAGGAGATTCCTATGGTGAAGGTGCTTTGGAGGAGTGATCGAGTCAAAGAAGAAACCTGAGAGACTGAGGTCTCAATGAGGGAGCAATACCCGTTTCTTTTCGATTAGACACGGGATTTCGGGGACGAAATCCCAAATAAGGAGGGAGAACTTGTAACACCGTCCCCAAGTATATTTACTTTTAGTAAATCATGTAATGAACCATGAATAATGATTCGTGAATTTACGAGGTTGTAAATTTTTGTTATTACGTTCGCGTGAATAGTGAATTGCACGTGGGGCCCACATCGGGAGCGGGGACCACCCGATAAACCCGAGACCACATATTATATTCATATTGGTCTAGATAATATGTATATGGTGGTAGATATTTTAGTTGGGCCATAGGAAGGGCATAGGGTTGACCCGTCGGTCAAACGAGGCCCAATTACCGGTATCGGTAATTTATCAAATAACAGCCCGGAACGGATTTCGGGGACGTCTAAATTAAAGTTGGGGAATGAATACTCATTCCAAAAGTCCATAATGATGGGAAACACAAAATATATTTTATTTGACTCGATAAAATAAAATATAATTTAAACGGTCCGAAAAATACAACTTTCGGGACCGATTGTACAAATCAGGACACAAAGGGATGACCTCCCACATGAGTGGGGGCCACCCCACATTTTGTGTGCTCAAATTGTTCAGAGGAGGCTGGAGTTGACTAGTAAATGTGTGGAGGAGTGGGCTTTGGCATCAAAGGTACCATGGAGGACCCCTCACCCCATTAATTTGCCATTTGAGACAAAACAAGCCACCCTCTCTCATCCCCAATCATCTAGCTCGCCCAACACATAATTTTTGAGAGGATAAGCTCTGCAAGATACTCATCCTCCATAGCCAATTCGAACTCAATCCATAGGAGTCCAAAAAGAAAGCTTGAAGGAGGAAAACGTTAGGAAAAGTGTGGAATATTAAGGTAATAACCTTTTAATAACTTTTCCTGTACTTTTCATTTATCATATGGATTGTACATCATATGAGGAACCCCTAGGTTTTTTTCTACATATTTAGAAATGTAGAATGAGGGGTTGGAAGGTAGTTCTAAGTCCAAGAATGGACTTAGAAGCCAAAACGACCGGTTCACCGGAAAATAACCTTTTAGGGGTTATTTGTATTGATATGAGTTTTGTGATGATAAAACCATATTAGGAGCATAAATAAAGTGTTTCTAGAGTTCGCCAGAGTTTTGCCGGAGTTCGCCGTAGTTTCGCCGGAGTTTCGCCAGAGTCCAATCGAGAAGCGTGGAACGCGCTAAAGCTCATTTAAGGTTAGTGGACGGCTTAATATCTTATAACTTTTGGGTTTATTATGATATTACCTAAATAAATGTTATATGTGTTCATAATTATGTTTAAAAGGTATTTAAACATGTGATTAACCAACATGGTTAAGTTTGTATGAAAGGAATTAATTGTTTATGCATGAAATATGTTATGAGAAATTATATAAAATGCATGTTTGCTTGAAGCGTAAGTTGAGTAAAAATGAACATTATTAACTTAATTATATGATGATTAAGTTGATACGTATAAGGTTTGAAATGGCAGTCAATGAAAACGTTGACCGATGGATAATGGATTAATTGATACCGGATGGTATTAGTTAATTATGAATTTATATAAACGCATGACTTTGCATGGATTGTGATACATAAGCTTTATGTATTGATTTAGCTATGAATGAATAAATATGATATAGATCCTATCTAGGTTGATAGGAGGTTGATCATAGGATTATACATTGGTGGAGGACCCTAGGACTTAAAGTCCTTAACACTGATATTTTGGTGGAGGACCCTAGGACTTAAAAGTCCTTAACACTCATATTTTGGTGGAGGACCCTAGGACTTAAAAGTCTTTAACACTCATATTTTGGTGGAGGACCCTAGGACTTAAAAGTCCTTAACACTCATATTTTGGTGGAGGACCCTAGGACTTAAAGTCCTTAACACTCGGATTATAAATTGGTGGAGGACCCTAGGACTTAAAGTCCTTAACACTCGGATAATAAATTGGTGGAGGACCCTAGGACTAAAAGTCCTTAACACTCAAATACAAATTTGATGGAGTACCCAAGGATTTTGATCCTCAAAACTCATAGATTATGATATTGAAGTATGGACAAGGAGGAGTCTTATACACTCATAGGCATATGGGTGGGTTGGGGTTTTTAGTCAAGGATATTGACTATTAATATTTTCCCAAATAAAACGGTGATCTACGGATCGGGTATTTTCCAAGTGTATATGTACTACTAAGTATTTCTTAACTTGGGGGAAAAGACTATTTACATAAGTATCACCCTATGTTTGGGTCTTATACTTGAAACGCTAGTTATTCTATATTTAGCCTGCTACTCGCTCGATACTTGTACTGACCCCTTCGGGGGGGCCCACCATTTCAGGTTGAAGTTAAAGCTTGTCATCTACACCTTTGCACGGGTGAAGAGAATCCAGAGGAAGACGTGGTTCGTGCTCCCTCTACTATTTCAAAAAAATAAACTATGTTCATGGATACTTTTGTATTAATACATTGTTTTGGCCTGCGAGCCTACGTTTTGGCCATGCGTGGCCCACGATTAATTGTTGAATATTTCCGCTATTCAATTAATCTAAATTGTGATGTTGTTGTGTATGTTTACTACTGAGTATTGATATATTATGTTCATGGACGCCTTGTATGATTAAGACACGTTGACTTGCGAGTGACATCACTTGGTCATACGGCGGTTGTACACGCGCCTAGATGCGGTCTGGGGCGTGATAGGTTAGCCCCCCATCATCCTGGCGAGGTTCATCCCCAGGGGATGTACGTATCGTAGCATAGGCAGGTGCCTTGACCCAGGAGCAGCGGCTGACGAACGTCTCGCAGGACTTGGCCCAGCAGGAAATAGGAGGCAAGCCCATGGGGACGAGCGTCCCCAGAAGGCCCAAGACAACGAGATACCCTTCCGATTATCCAGGGGACACATGTATCCTAATGTAGGCAGGTACCTTGGCCCAGGAGCAGCACGAGACGCACGTCTCGCAGGACTTCGGGCCTAGCAGGAAACCAGAGGCAAGCTCATGGGGACGAACGTCCCCACCCCTTGGCGGACAGCCAAGATCCTGGCGGGATTCTGCATTTGATACAGAAGATTTGGTGGTTGCGCATTTGATGTAGAATATTTGGTGGTTGGGATCAAGTCATCCATAGTTGGGTTCAATGCATCTAACTACCCATTGGCGTTATAAACAGTAGCATATATTTCATTGTAAAGGGGGCCTTTCTTGCTTGTTTCTTCATCTATCTACTAATTCATCTATCTACGGGTTGAAGGAATAAACTTCAACAAAGATATAAATAAATAATTTAGACATGAAAAATACATGTTTATCATATATCACTTTAACTTCTTTTACACATTTCCTACGTTCATTATGACAAAGTTGGCTAATACGACATATTTGTATTTGTTATGTTTTGCACGCTACCTGTGTGAAAAGAAGTTTGGCGGTAACAATAGTATATTTCATTTATATTTGATTCATTTCAATAAAGTTGTGAATATTACAACAATTGTACATCTGACTCATTTAGTTTTCTTTGAATATTTTATGTGATACGTAGTATTATAAATGATAATCAAATGTAATTTTTTTGTAAGAAGGTAATCTTTTTTTTGTGATCGAAAAGATGTTAGAAGTTTTAATGTCATCAGTGTTGGTATGATAAATTAGGTTTTAATTTATAATATTTTATTATTTCTTTTTCTATCTTTTATTTAGAAACAATTACAAGATGAGATGAACTACTACTTTCATTTTCTAATTCTAAAATATAGAATTTGATCAAATCAAATAATAAACATAAGAAACCGAATCAAATCGAACTAAATTGAACCTAATAATTTTCACTTTGGTAAACCGAACTTCAAACTGAACCGCAACCAAACCAGAACTCAAATGGTTCTAGTTTGGTACAAATTATCTTAAACTGAATAAACTGAAGTAGAATCAAAACCGAAGAAAATCGAACCGTAAACCGAATTGCCCACTCCTAGATGGTGTGATCCCAAACAAATATTTAGAGCATCTTCAATGTTAAAAGTGTTGAAAGAGTATATGTGTTCATGGTGGATTGAGATCATCTGCCCGAGTAGGAGAGTGCCTTACTCAACGGACGGACAGATGGGAAGAAAAGCGCCTCGAGATACGCGAAAAAGTGGATCCCAATAATCTCCAACCGTTGAGCTCTCGATCCGACGGTAGCCCTCGGCCAGGCACCCTACCTTGCTGCTAGAGCAAGGCAGAGACCCAAATCCGTTCATGATAGACATATACAAAAAAAACCATGTTATTTTCTTTCTTTGATGTTAAAAGTGTGTGAGTTTAGCGATTATTTTATATTTATATATAATATCAAACACAATGTCTAGATCTTGATATTGTGTTCGATATTGTGAATTAAAAGTAGCTAGAAATAAACACACTTGTGAAATAAAAGAGAGTGAAATGACATTAGTTATACTTAATGTGAAATAAAAGTATTTAATGAAACATAGTCTCTGTTCACTATCAACACTTTTGCATTAAATATTCTCTTATAAAGAATTGTTTAGTGTATGGTGCACACAAAGCAATAGATTGAACGTATAACAAAGTAATAGAATTTTCTGGTCTGATCTGGTATGGTCTACGTGTATTTTATACGGAGTAATATTTATTGTCCTAAATAGGACTAATTAGTCTCTAAAAAGCAAAAATGGGACTACTACCTTTTAAATTTTCGAAATATGACTAACCATTGATTTTCTACCCTAAATACTCCTAAGGGTATAATTCATAATGGAATGTTTAATTCATAATAAAATCATAAAAAATAATAAAATATCGTAAAAAAAATCGTAAAGAATTAATAAAAATTAGTAAATATTTACAAAATAAAAAAGTATTAAAAATAGTTTTTTTTTGTTTTTTTTTCAAAAAATATTAAAAAGTTGTAAAAACCTATAAAAAATATGGATACCTTTCCCACCGCTTCCCAGCACCACCACATCCGATCGGTGAAAATTCTGTCACTTTTGTAAAAAATGCCATTTTTTCTGAAGATGCCAAGGAAATGACATTATTACTC